TAGGGAAAGGAATCATGTGGGAAGGAAAACGGGTGGGGTGGGGTTTCCATCCCATGGCTTGGGCAGCCGGTACAGCCTCCCTACTGGACCTCTTCCCTGCCAAAGCTCCGCATCAATGATACTTAATGTTGCCAAGAAAATTTTTACCAAGGCAATTATGAAGATAATCATTCAAGTAAATGATCATCTGCCAAGGCAATTTTTACCTCTAGAGTTATTCCAAGTCAAACTACTCCACTATTAACCATGTTTTCATTGTTTAGCTGTCATATGACTTTGTTCTCGCCATTTTACTTTGTACATGCCATGAGATATTCAATTTTTATTTCACACATCTTCCAAGAAGTATTCTCAAAGTTGTACATGCATATATAGGGATAATTTTAGCATAATTATAGCTGCTCCCCTTTCCTCCATATAAATATAAGAATTAAAAATTTTCACTTAAATTATAGACGACCAAAAACCTTTCTTATACATGATTTTCCCAACTTCCACCTACAGACGTGGTAGTGTCACTTTGTCACACTCATAGGGAGCAAAGACTATTAGTGCTGAATATTCCATGCAATCAGAAAGATATCTTCGGTTTTTGTTTTAGATAAACATAAATGACATTCCACCGCCAAAAACCAACTTCCCTTTTACTTATGAACCTGTATAATTTTACAATAAAGAAGAAGATACAAACATTAAAAAGGGAAAAGTAAAAAAGAAAAAAAAAAATCCCTTTTACTCATAAGATTGTATAATTTTATAATATTAAAAAGCATTCTTTTTACTTATAAGATTGTACAATTTTATAATAAAGAAGATGATAAAATGATGCAACAAGAAATAATAATTATCAAATCCATTAAGTTACCACCAACCCCGCATGTAAATGCCTGATTACTGCATCTAGCGTACCAACAACTTTAATCAAATCAGTGGCAGCCCTTGAATCTGGTCCCTGTAAAAATATAAGAGCGCTCGTAAGTATCAAGATAGCAAAAATCTCTTTCAGAACACCGAAGAAGAAACAAAATGACAATCTGATCATAAAATTCCTCTAGAGTGTGTGTGTGTGTGTGTTTATATTTAAAAAAGATGAAGGGCTAATATATTAAAGAGAAAAAAAAGATACAGATAGGTTATATGAGAGGGACTAAAAGAAGGCCCAACTCACATGAAATCTAAATAAAGCAAAGATACATAAAGATAAAAAATTAAAGAACCTCCAACGGGCGGAAAAGTACTAGGGACGTCCCACTTTAGTCCTTTCTTTGCCTCTAATTCTCGGAAGGGAACCGGCTAACAAATTAGTAAGGTGCATACTATTACCCGAAGTAACCAAAGTATCATCCATCAGATTCCTGAGCTCAAGTAGGTCTCCAAGTAGGTCTCCATTCTTCTTTCCATTCTTCTTTTTCCTCCTAGATGTATAGACCTGTCATTCCTCATCTGAGGATTGACTCGTCTGATCAATGGATTAGTCCAAAGGTAGTCGGACAGGTATAGGCTGTTGCACATCAAGATCCTCATGAGTCTGAGTAACATTAACATCTTATTGTATTTCCACCTGTAATATCAGTGATAGGTTCTAGGACAGGTGGAGTTTGAAAAATTTGTCTCACCCCCACGATAGTAGGTTTCAAAGGCGGGGGAGCTACAACATTGTGTGGAGACTAAATGATTGACATATTGTTTGTGAGGATAGTGACGACTTCAAGGGTATCCTTTTGATGATCAATAGTATCAATAACTTGGAGTTGATCAGGAGAAGATTAATACATTGCCTCTGGCGGAGCACTTTATTTTTTTGGTCTAAGGTGGAGGTATAGATGATGGTACTGAGAACTAGAGTAACTGAACATACGACAGTTCGAACAATACGAAGGAAAAAGCTCAATCTCTACCTTTTGTCGACATCCATGGTATTGTGTGCCCAACTAAATTTCCTTAGAAGCGGAAGAAGTGATGTCTCTTTCAACAGGTACTCTGACTTCAGATGGACGGGAAGATTAAAAGTAGGAATGTCTGTTTTGAGTGGTTTATAATAAGCTGAGGCAATAAAACACACCACTTTTTGAGTAGAATAATAAATTTCAGACCAGGATGGCGAATCCAAACCGGAATGATTGGTGGTTTCGTCTGTGCGTCAAAATCCACAGACCATTTCAAAATTTTCATTATTTTGTTATCAATCCAAATTATCCTCTTAGCAAATAAGCGTGTGTAATCCTCTTCATTATTAATTTAAATAAGAATATGTTTTCCATCTAAGAGTCCAATTTTTCACTCCCCAACAAGGCTCAAATTCCTTACGAATAATCTCCATTTTGGGATGGTCAGGGATGGTCATACAGAAATTTCCCGACCAAATTCAGACAACAAGAGGAAGCAAGTTGAATACCTTCAGCTTCTGTAAAAAAGATGACAGACTTCTCATTCTTTCTACCAAGTTTCTTGATATCATCCGCCCACTCAAACAAAAAAAGGAAAGAACACGATTTAGGTGTACTTGAGGTGTGGACACCTGCAAGGGCAGCAACATACGATCTGTCTGAAGCCATCACCAATAGAAGGAGGCGCGGCGTAAGAAACAGTGAAAGTCAGTGAAAGAAAGAGCAAACGCCGAATGGAATCCGCGGGAAACCCTTTCAGAGAGAGACGCACAAAGAGAAAGCACGATGCGAAAGCACAAGACGCCGTGATTGGTCGGGATCGAGCAACCGCATCAGAATTCGGCTTCTGCGAGCACAAGATGCCACAGAAGCCGAGCCGACGCAACTCAAAACCTAACCACAAGAAAGAGCAGCCGCGTTAGGATGAAGACGAAGATGAAAGCGATGAAAGCAACACACGACGAAGAGAAATGCAATGTAGGAGAAACCAGGGTTCTTCATAGAGACGAAACCCTAGCAAAGCGTGAGCGACGGCCGCGCCATATATATTTGTGTATTATATATATAGAGAGAGAGAGAGAGACACGCGTATCAACTATGGAACTAATGAAACAAGCTATCTAAAAAAGAGCATATGCAATGCATGTAACCCCTACCTACTGAGATTTTAAGAGGGAGAACACAAATTTATTACTACCTGTGATGCCAGAGTTAACCCAAATCACGACTAAACGATAAATTTTATTGTTGAATTCAAAACTACAACGACGAATCCTCAACATAACACAAACATATAAATAATACATAACGACGATGACATAACAAAACAAGAAAATAAACAACACAAAACACAAAAAATGGCCCTTTACAAGATAGCAGCATACCCAGAAGGGAGGGACTACAGCTGCTACAATACCACGAACCAGTAAGGTTTTGTGTCAATCTCCCGAGATTAGGGGAGCTTCGACTTTATTTTTTTGAAGTTTCTAGTTTCTTGTAGCACAGAATCAAGTCTACCACGTTGATGGCATAAGAGATATTACAATCCCCTAAGAGATAAATCATATAGGTGTTGTCATTCCACAACATATCCCGATAGAATAAATATTCACTCTCTCTTGGCATAACATAAGTTGGAGTTACATATATATGTAGGTTCCCTTAATGTAACTCTTAAGCTCTTAAGTATAAAAACATCTTCTTCTACTTCTTTTACTCAGTGAAATGTAGTTGATGAACCAATAGGTAAGGAGAAATCAGCTCTGCGGTGAAATCTATGACAGGCTGCACCACTCTCACTAGCAACCACTTAGAAGATACCTCGTCTCCATTAATAAAATTTGGATTCCATTGAATAGTTTTCTTCACTGTCAAACTTCTAAAACAAATTTCAAGGCTTGGTTTCATCCCTCATGTATGGACATCTGATGATAGTTATCATGTTGAACTGAATCCAACAACTGAATAACTCCATATAATCTTCCAGACATGACACAAAAGGGCCACATTTTTTACATGTTGGACTCCCTTAGTCGGGACAACTCATAAACGAGTCTATAGATTTGAATAGTCTGGATTTCTTTTATTTAAGGTTGTCATGCCTCTGGTTCAGTTCCTTGAATTTAAGACTGCCTTAGACATTCACCATGAAGTCGGTTGGAATATCTCCCATGAGCTCAGCTGAAACTATGTGCATATTATCCTCAACTAGGAGTAGTTACTCCTATGCGTCATCATCCGCTTAAGTGTTAAAGGCGTCATTACCCAATTTTTCAAAAATGTCCTGCTCAGTGTAATGGATCACCCCCTGGTTGTGCAGTCTGATTCAACATTCCCAAATACGTGGCATTTGCAATACTTCATGTCTATGAAAAATTTAGAGATGCGGATTGATTACAACCTGTTCTCTACTCTGAATAAGCGCTTTCTCTGATGGGGTCTTCTAGGGTGTTCTCCTGAGTGTGATTTGATTGTAAGGCCTTGAGGTTGAGCACTGTCTGTAAGACGTGGTGGTCGCCCGATGATGTGGTTTCTCTATTTCTGAAGCTAGAGTCTGATCCTTTTGTTTATAGTAAGCTGATAGGAACTGGCGCAGAATCCCCCACTTCATCTTCAAATTCTCCCGTTCTCCATATGTTGGCTCTTCTCTCAGCCTCCTCTGATACTGGATTTTAGAGCATTTTGGCCGGTCCTATGCATCACTAATGCCCTCCCTATGGAAGGAATTGAAATCCTCGTCTCTTGCTCTCCTTCGATTCTCTAGATCCTAGTCTAGGTTAATCTCCCCTGGGTCCCATCATGCATCTCTACTAATCTCTGTTGCAAACGACAAATCTTCCTATGTATTTCATCTTGAGTGGGGTCAGGCAGGTATCTCGTCGAGGGCATGGCTGAAGGTTTGGGATCTGCAGAAGAAGAAAAAAAAAAGAAAAAATAGAAGGAACGAAAAGAGAGGAAAAAAAGAAAAAAGAAAGAGGGAAAGAAAAAAAATGGTGGACTCGAGAAAACTCTAAGATAAGACTAGGGTTAGGTTAGTTTTGATACCAAATAATACCGGAGTTAAACCAAACCACGACCGAACGACAATTTTATTGTTAAATTCAAAACTACAACAATGAATCCTCAACACAACACAAACATATAAACATCACATAACGAAAATGACGCAGCAAAATGTTGACCTCAATTTTCGTGAGGTTTAGTATTCCTCGTAGGAGTTAGGATCTAGCCTTAGGGGTCTTCCTGCGACTATCTTAGACCTTAGAAGTGGTGTTAGAAGTGGTGCCCGTCTCGTTTTAGTTCGACCTATTTCCGTCCTCTTTTGGAGGTTTCGCGTGTGTGGTATCGAATTCTAACAATTAGAATGATGAAACCGACATGAGAAAACCCAAAATGGATTCCTTTAGGACCTTTCCGAGTCTTAGGGTGACCTTCTGCACAATTCGCACTCCTGCGCGCACCAGCTTCGCAATTCGGAGAGTCGACGTGTCTGATCTCCGCAATTCACATTGCCTCCGCTATTACTTGTTGAATGCTCGAGTAAACCTTTTGGTACGATCGATCGCGGGTCAATATTTGGTGAAATTTGAATTTCGACGTGTTTTGACCCGATTGTCGACGACGCCGTCCGAGCGACCCCGGATGACGAAACGGACTGCGCCAACGCGTCCGGAACGTCGATTTTGCCCGGGGGGGACACCCATTTTGTCGCGTCGTCGCGCGCGAATAAATCGTTTAATTAATATCTATATATATATATTTAATATATATATTTATATATATATTAGTTAACTGTTTTACTTTTCTTTCCTCTTTAATCCCTAGCCGTCTCCCCTGCGCTCGAG